ATAGATAGATAGATAGATAGATAGATAGATAGATAGATAGATAGATAAATAGTAAGGCTGAGAAGATGGTTTAGTGGGTAAAATGCTTATTACTCAAGTGTGAAGACCTGAGTTCAGATCCCCAGCACCCACATACAAAGCCAAGTGTGGCAGCACACACCCTTAATCCCAGTACTGGGAGACAGGAAGAAACATGGGGTTCACTGGGCAGTCGATCCAGCTAATTGATGAGGTCTGGGTTCAGTAAGAGATCTGGCCTCAAAAGTAATTTGGGGAGTTATAGAGAAAGACATCTTACATCATCGTTGGCCTACACATACACACACACACACACACACACACACACACACACACACACACGGATAAGCGCCTTCACACATGCACACACACACACCTGTACTACACATACATAAGTTAAATTTAAAAATATCAAACGAACAAACATTAAAAATTGTGCCCACATCTCAAGTGCTCCACAGTTGCTTTTGGCTGCAGCAGTGGGCAGCGCAGATGCCCAACCCCTCCGTCACCTGAGAAAACACTGTCTGACAGATAGCCCAGCAAGGGCAACAGCACAGTGGCCTAGGCTTCCCACCCACAACGACCACATCAAAAGTGTGCCAGCATGAGCCGCAGAGACCCAGCAGTCTGAAGATGATGCGGACCCTTCCTGCCGAGCCCCAGAGGCACCCCAGTAACAAGGCAGTGATTTCGAGAGATGAGCCAACACAGGAAGGAGGCTTCCCCAGCCATTCTAATTGGACATAAAGACTTAAAACTCCAGATCGGAAGCAGAGGGAAGCCTGCATTTAGCAGAGAGGGGACAGTGATTTGTGGAACGCTGTTATTAGAGAACCACAGCAGCCTCTTAGTGCCGTGCAATTTACACGCTGCAGAAGCAGCAGCATTTTTATTTTGCAAGTGGAGAGTTGCTGGTCCCCACAGCTCCCTCTTCCCTTCTGCTTTCTGTTCCCCACTTCCTCCTGTGCTGTGCTAAGCTTCCCAGCCCTTTCTAGCCAGCAAACCTGTGCAGACCAAAGCCATGCCATATAAAACAAGCTTGCTATGAGAGGCTGGGTGTTTGCAGGTGTGTGTTGGCAGTAATTTTTAGAAAAAGAAAAACAGTGTGGGTTCATCGACACCCACTTAAGGAAGAGAGCAGCAGGAAGATAAATCAGTGTTCCTGACAATCTTAGGTACCAGATATAAAGAGTTTTAGGGGTGGGTGTGTGGGGTGTGTGTGTGTGAATGAATATGAATTCCAAAAGAATAACAGATATGTTACAATCTGTTATTACCCGTCAATAGATCACTGGTTCTATAAAATACTGTGTACCATAACACACTATCATCTACACAGACACGTGCAGTCTTATTTTCAGAGACGTGAGGGTGCACAGGAAGTCCAGTGGAGCCAAAGCATAGCATAGACGGTACAATTCTAGCTACACATATTCTCGGGCCTACGGAGATGGCTCTGTCAGTAAAATGCTTGCCACATGAGTGCGAACTGAGTTCAGTTCCCCAAAACCCACATTTAAAAAGCCAGATATGGTGGCAGGTACTTTTTTATCTTAACACTGTGGAGGCAGAAAGAGGCAGGCCCCTCGGGCTTACTGGCCAGCTAGTCTGGCCTACTTGACAAACTACAGCTCAGTGATAGAGCCTGCCTCTAGAAATAAGATGGAAGGCACCTAAGGAATGACATCCATGGTCACAGTCAGCCTCCACACGCATGCCCATGCACCTTCATACACACAACAGTAGCCAGCTCGCATGGTAACATGTATGCAAATACATGCACAGGAAATGAGGCTGCAGGAAGAGGCAGCAGCAAAAGTATCCAGGCATCATTTCTGTCTCTGGTACCCAGCCTCAGAGGACTCCATAGATGTCTGTGAACTGAAAAACAGTGATTTCTTTTCTTTATTGTACTTTCCTGCAGTCAGCATGTTTTACATTTGTCACTCTGGTTTAATTTGAAGCCACTTAGACCCAAGGTCCATAGATAGCAGCTTTCAGCCTAATACAGATTATGGTAAGTGTTGGCCAAACGGGGGCTGTTCTAGGAGTTAGACCACCGTGGGGTGTGGGAGCCTCGTGGTGACACTACACACCCTCATATCCTGATCCCGTGGTTTCAGGTACTACCCAATGGGCCACCCAGCGTCTGTCCATCTCTACTTCCTTGCTGACCGCTTCCAGGGCTTTCTGATCAAGCACCACGTGACCAACCTTGCTGTGAGCAAACTGGAGACACTGGAGACATGGATGATGCCAAAGAAAGTCTTCAAGATCGCAAGTCCCCCCAGTGACTTTGGGAGGCTTCAGTTTTCTGAGGTAAGAGGCCAAACGGTGTGAGTTTTAATTATCTCCTGCAGCTCTCTTGCCAGGCTCTGTGCTTCACCCTACACTTAGAGCTGGCAATGAAGGAAGAGGGTATTTGTAGAGCCCTGAGGATGAACTTCTTCTATTCCTGGAGACAATCCCCTAGCCCAACATACTGGAACCAGCGTCACAAACAATGCAAACAGAGAGGTATAGTGGTGGACCAATATCTTTGAACAGAATTGGCAGGAAGCATGGTCTTTTTTTTTTAGGGTAAAATCTCTTCTCTTAGTTTTTAGCATCCCATCCATTGATTTCTTCTAACGGTTTTAGTAACGAGCCAGTAACAAGACAGCTTCCTCGTGAAGTCATGGCATTAGTACCATTTTGTGGATTGAGTAAGTGAGGCTTATAGACGTCCAATTATGTTCTAAATAACTGCTAAGACATGGAAAAATCACAGAATTGATCCCACATCTCACTGGCCACAAATTCCATGTCTCATTATGTGCTGTTATTCCCCCCCTTGTTCCTAACACAGGGGCTAGCTCCTAGACTTAGTAGTAGGTGGGCCTGTGGCCTTATAAATGAATGGATAGATAGATAGATAGATAGATAGATAGATAGATAGATAGATAGATAGATAGATAGATAGATGGGTGCAGCTGATTGATAATTAGATGAACTGTCAAACAAATGGATGGAGTACGGAGGCATGGAAGAGTAGATGAGTGGGTAAGTGGACAGATGGGTTGATGGATGACATGTGAACAGACAGATGAGGGACAGAAATGTATACAGTGGTGTGGATGATGATGGATGATGGGTAGAGGGATGGATGGACAGGCATAGATGGAAAGATGAGTTACAAATGGACAGATCTGTAAATGAATGTACATGTAGGCAACAAGATGGACTGATGATGGATGGATGGATAGATGGATGGATGGATGGATGGATGGATGGATGGATGGATGGATGGATATGTGGACTAATAGATACATGGGTGAACAGACACACAGAAGTGTGGTTGGATAATGGATAGGTGTTTGGATAGATGGGTATGAGGAGACAGAAATGTCCAGAGATGGCTAAGGGGACTAGTGTATGATTCCAAAGAATGTTGTTTCCTTCTATTCACAATAACATCAGCTTTTAGAAATGTTTTTGGTTTGGGAAATATTTTCCTGGTACATTCTTTTCACATCTTTCCTGTTTGTAGGCTCAGAAGTCCCCACATGATCTGGTTACTATTTGCCTTTTCATCTCTGTCCAGTACCACGGTATCTCTTACGTTTTCCATATCTTTGTCAAACGAGATGTTCTTATTCTTGACTTGAGTTTTTCATGTCCCTTTACCTAGAATGCTTTCTCACAGGTTATTCTATATTTTGCAACCATTTGTCTTTAAGTCATTCTGATCTATACCCAAAGAGGCACCTTTGAAGGCACCTTCTGTCACAATAGCAGCATCATATACCTGCTACTTCCTTAGTTGTCTCTTTTAGAATCTACCTTATAATGTTATCATGCTGATATGAGCATCTCTTGATTGTACACTAGAAAACTGGACCTGCCTGTCACTCACTGCTGCATCCTCTACACATAACATTAGCAAAAGAGCCAGGTCATTAGTGGGCGCTGAATACTCTTGAGTGAATGTGACTTCCCCTGAAGGTGGGAAATGCTTGAAGGAGGAGGAAGTATGGGAATCACGACCCACAGAAATGAGTTTGAGTGCCAGGTTGAGGCTGAAGAGTGACCTTTGAAATGCAGTAACTTGAGGGTCTGGGTGTACAAGGGGAGAAATCATACCAGCTTATATGCCCTTGCTGGTCCTTCTCCACTCACTGTAGCTATGTCTTTTTGCTCTGCCCCCTGACTGAATAGATCCCTGTATCAAGCAAGCATGGGTGAGCCTCTTGTAAATGCATGTTTAAAAGAAGGTTCCATGGGGATTGACTGGCTCTGAGCTGCTATGGCAGCCAGCTCCATAAATTACTGGAGTCAGCAGGGCAATTAGATGTTGCTCCAGTTGGATTCTGTTCTGGGGGCCCAAGCAGCCTATTGAAGACATTAATGTCCCATTAAAGAGATGAATGCCTGGTGTCTGGGCTTCCCCTGTTTATCAGCCTGCTGGTGGGTCACTGGATACCTCTGGCAGTGACAAGAGATGTTGGCCACAGCATGGCCAGTAATTTGTGAGTGTTTCCACTATGGGTCCTGCAGTCTTTGTGAGAGGACAGCCGGTACTTCCATGAGCAGGTACGTGAAGCAGAGGCCCCAGCCTTGTACCCTTATATGCAGAACCTTTGTAGTTGTTCTTAGTTAGTAGCAAAGGTCCAGAATTGAGCAAGAAGGAAGGAAGCCCTACAAAGCCACTTATAAACTGTTAAGGGTACCTTGATATTAGCATAGTCTCAGAATCTTGCATAGTGACAGAGAGTCAACTTTGATAAATTTCTCTAGCATAATGGCCCAATGAATGATAGAGTGGTGGGTGGGTAGATGGATGGATTTCTTGGTTGATGATACAGAGAAAATATATACATGAAAGATTGTTTCATGCTACATAGATAATATAAAATAAATTAATTAATAAGTTTATTTATTAATAAATTATACGCACTGCAATAATTATTTATTTTATGCAATAATGGACAGATGGATGGCGGTAGATGGGTGGACAAACAGACAAATAGATGACCCATTATTAATAGACTTCTTGGACTTCCACAGCAAAGTCACTGATTCTACGCATTCTCTCCATGTGCACAATGAGAATAGTGACAAAGTTCTCCCCTTAGTAGATGAGGATGTCACCCAAGCAAGTGCACCCAGGTGCCTCACCTCACACCTGGCCCAGGCAAGCCTTCAGTGTTGACTGTGGAATTGTGTGTTCTAGCTGAAGAGCATAGGTAGTAATTCCAAACAAGAGCAGGAAAAAGGAAATCAGCTACCATTTTCTGTGTGTATACAGAACCTTCTCCACCTTCACCTCAACCTGCACACACAAACACACACACACACAGCACCAGCTTTACATTATGTTCAGTATCTGCCACTGAGCTGCCTGTGTGCGATGACTTCAGAAGTGCCAAGTCATTCCTCTTAGAGAACATCACCCACCCCTTTTCTAGTAAGAAAATCCCTCATTTCAACATAGCTCACTATCAAGGTTCTGTGTGGCTAATTCACTTTTTATCAAGCAATTCACTTGCTTATTGGGAAAACATTGCTTGAACACCTATTACATGCTCAGCTCACTCTCAGTGAGAGTGAGAACCATGAAACAGTTGCGATCCACACAGTGTAGGCTCTTCTCACAGGACCTACATTACAGCAGAGGGAAGGGGTGTGCTGTGGTAGTGAGAGGGCCCTAGACAGACCTCTCAGATAAGGACTGGCTATGCAAAGGCATAAGAAGGTAGGGCCTTCCAGGCAGGGAAGATGGCTCACGATGGGGAAGGGGTGGCTTGGTAAGTTAGGACTGAAAGAATGCGAATATGGAGCAGAAGAGGTAGATGGGGATGGAGACGAGGAAAGCCTGGGACCACAGTGGAATGGTTAGCTCAGACCCAGGGACAGTGAGAAGCTCCAAGCAGTGAGTCAGCATGTGGCTGCTCCCTGACTCCAGAATGCAGAGGGCCTTGAAGGTGGAAGAGCTGAAGGAGGAAAGCCAAGAGGCTTGCCGCCCAGCCACCCTGCCAGTGTGTGGGAAGGGTAGACGTAAGGCATGCCGCATCTCCAGGTCCAGAGCAGAGTGCCTTGGAGATGTCAAAGTTGGATCTCCCTGCTGCGGTGACACAGGTTGCTAGGCTCTGTTTCCAAGCATATGATGGGTTGCTCAAAGCCAGGGCTCCATCCTTATTCAGAAGGAGCACCCCAATTTCAGTGTGCCATTTGTAGAAGCAGAGGCCCAATAGGAACCTAGCCTCATGGCTGAGTGTCAGGATGTTACACGGAATGCAGTGTTATGTCCATTCACACTTGCATTCAATGCAAGGGTTTGGGATTTTGAGTCAAAGAACACAGCAAGGCGTTGGCACAGAGGGACACTGGTTTAATGAAGGACTTTTGGGCACTGGAGTCTCAATCCAGGCAGAAGTTCCACGCCTTCTGCCTACTGACTGTGTAATTAAGAGTACCATGTGAGTCGGAGCCTCAGGCTCCTCATCAGTGAAATGGGTATGTGCAACCATCCAAGCAAGATCCTAGACCTTTCTGCGACTCTGGTTTCAGGATTTCTTCTCCTGTTTCAGGTTGGCACTGACTGGGATGCCAAGGAGCGGCTATTCCGGAACTTCGGTGGTCTCTTGGGGCCCATGGATGAGCCAGTGGGGATGCAGAAGTGGGGGAAGGGCCCCAATGTGACCGTGACTGTAATTTGGGTGGATCCCGTCAATGTAATTGCGGCCACCTATGATATCCTAATTGAGTCCACCGCAGAATTCACACACTACAAACCCCCTCTGAATCTGCCCTTGAGGCCCGGGGTCTGGACAGTAAAGATTCTCCATCACTGGGTGCCGGTTGCAGAGACCAAATTCCTTGTCGCACCCCTGACCTTCTCCAACAAGCAGCCCATCAAACCAGGTGAGTACCCTCAGGAGAGAGTCTATCTCCACGGATCCCCAGAATCCCTGGCCCATCTGGGAACAGGCTGCCTTGCAGAGAGCAAAGCTTCCCCATTTGGGTTTTTTTTTTCCTACTTGTTTACCCTATAGAGCTGGCTCATTTCCTCCCTGTACATAGAGAAAATGCCATCTGTGTGGATATTTATCAGCTGTTGGCCCACTGGACTGCCACAAGGCTCTGCTCATATTTAAGACAAGATGGGGACTAATCCTAGGCACACACTGTGTTTTAGCATGGCTTCCTGGCTGTTTTGATTTAATTATGGATGAAATTATGCTCATAGAAAATGTGATGCCCTGAGTAAAAAGGAGAAGCCACACACTGGTGGAAGACATTTGCTCCCCAAAACGTACAAGAATAAATTCCATAAACAAGAGTTTGGCAAATAATAAGCCCAGTCAACTATGGCCATTTCTGGTCTTTATAGACAATGTCTTACAGGAACGTGGCCATGAGCACTGATGGACACAGGGCCTGTGTCTGCTTTGGGGCTTCTGTGGTAGACTCCAACAGTCAGGACACAGACTGTGTGGCTTACAAATCAGAACCATTTGCCCCCTGAAGATGATGACTGGCATTGGCAGCTATAAAACGGAGAGGAAATGAAAGAGAAATGAACAAGAAAGATTTCTAAAATGGAAAAGAAAGAGAAAGAAAAAGTGAATTCTCCATATATGTATAATTAAAAAAAAACTTTATTCTTGTTATTAATGAGAGGTAATAATGAAAAATTAGAAGCCAAAAGGAGTTCCAGAGTGGGAAATTACTGTGTGCCTGTGACAGCCAGACAGTGCCATGGGCAGGCTGGGTTGCACGGGCATCTAGCCAAGGCTTCTGAGAGCTGAACATGTAGGATGAGTTTAGGGATGGGTGAACACCTTCTCATGTTTAACATGCTTACACCCATCACACAGCAGTCCCATGTGCAGGTGTAGGCCGCGGCAGAGGCAAGGTGAGAATTCTAGCAGAATTTGTCACAGTAACACAAGACCACAAACTACCCACAAGTCTCCCCCACACAAAAGGACAGCGTGTAGTCTGCTTTCACGGTAGGGTCCCATGTAATGAAGACAGCAGTAAAGGCCAGCCACATGCAACTGTAACACATGATGGGCAAGGAAAACTGATCACAGAATAATCTATGCTTAGGAGTGCTTCACTTAAGGTTCAAAACCAGGAAAAGTCAATGATATAGTCGTTGTTTCAGGATTCATGTGTCAGCAGGAAGCTGAAAGAGAGAGAAGGAGGCTATTAACATATACTCTGACCATTGCTTCCAGTGAGCACAGAGGATGGAGAGAGGGACGCTGGACCCCTAATGGCCACTTGTTTTTATTCTAGGCGAAGGGTTCACACTTGTTTTTCTGCTTTTTCTACACTTTTTTGTCAATAAAATCTTTTTTTTTTCTAAATTCTTACCCTTCAGTAGTGACTACTGTGGACAGCTGGAGCTCTTCTTTTGCTGTGTTAAATCATAAGCGCAAGCATGTGTCAGAAAGCACAGAAATGCAGTTATGATGCTATAGTACATTCCGTACCAAGCAGGCCTTGGTAGCTTTCTAAGTCAGTGTGTGCAAGCTGCCAGCCACAGAGATTCCACAGTGCAGGGACCACAGGCTGTTCCTTACTGAACACAGTACCTCCTGTTGTCTGGTGATGGCATTATTGCAGAAAGTGCCACAAGGCAGATTTTTGGAACATGAAATTATGTGTGCCCAGGCTCATAAGACAGACTCATAGAAATAGGGTTTCTGAGGTTCCCAGTACAGCCACCCCTTGTTGTCTATAGAGAATTGGTTCCATATTCTTTCTTGATTGTTAAAAGCTGCAAATGTGTCAGTGCCTTATAGAAAAGGGCACTATAACCTATAACCTATAGAATGCCTATAACCTGTGCATTCTCCTGTTTACTGCAAATCATCTCTAGATGGCCCATAGTGCCTAATGCAAAATGAATGTATACCCATAGCTGTGAGTGTTGCTTAAGGGACGATGTCAAGAAGAACAATGTGGGCATGTCCAGCACACACAGATTCCCTCCAGGGGCTTCCCTGAGATATGGAGATAGATTATCTGGATGGTCCGTCTGTGTATTACACAACACACGCCCAGGAGCTAGATACACAGGACTTGGATACATACTAGATACATACTTCCTGCTTAGTGGGAAGCAGTCTTAGCAGGCACCATGTGCTATCCCAATAACACAGGCCAGAAAGACTTAGATGTGTGATGCGTGCCTGCAATCCTGAAAACAGGGCTTTGGCAGGAATTCTGGCAGCTTCTGCTAGGTGTTCGTGCTAAACAAGCCAATACCTACCTAGACCCCTGGTATTTTCTTGAGACTGAAGGCTAGGCCTCTGCTCCAGAATTAGCCAAGGCAGAGACTACTTACTGTCTTCAAGTTTCCCTTCACGGGTCTTCCTTTCACATCCATCCAAAAGCTAAGTGTGAAGAAGAGAGGTGAGAATCCCACCTCTCCCCTGCCTCAGGTACAGATGTGGGACAGCAAAAAAGCTGTCCCTAACCACCCCCAGCCCAAGAAAGAAGCGCAAGGCCCTGCTGGTGGGATCTTTCCTTCTGTGATTTCCAAGGAGATGGGAGCCGTCCCCACCATTCCCAGAAAGACCTTGGGGTCAGTTTTACCCCAGGGAAGCAGTTCCCCTGTCGACAGTAATTGTATTTGTTAATGAGACAAGGAACAGTGAGGTGGGAGTAATGTAATTTGTGAAATGATTCATCTTGAGTAATTTGCTATTGATGCGTCCCTGGTAATCTGAAGAAATCTGATGAGGTGGAATTGAGGAAAATTTAATTATGGAGGCAAAAGCATCCGAGCTGATGCCATAATGCCATTTCCCACATTAACCTCAATCCTTATAAAGCGGTGTGGTTTGTTTTTTTCCCTGCATCAACCACAGTATTTTGCTCCCAACATTTCAGTGTCCATTAGCTGTTCCTTTAGCTTGGAATTGTTCCCCCTTTTGTTGGCCTGAGCATCTCTCGATCACCTGCTTCTACCTCTGCAGGGTAGAAGCACAGAGAGACTCTCATAAAGAAATTAGGACATGCGTTAAAGACAAAGACCCTGTTTTCTTGGCAGATAATGCACGTGCTGCCTGTCTTCCAGTATCCTGGCTATGACCAAAACCTGACTTGTGGAAATTTTATTTCACCAAGGATAAGAACCTCTTCAAATAGGAAACATCTTGTTTATCTCCTTCATCCACAAACTCTTAGAATTTCCTTGTTCCTCCTTTTAGCCCTAGGGAGACTCAACAGTCCTCTTGTGTGTCCCTTGCTTTGATTACAAACTATATGAACTTGTAGCCAAGCCTCCTTGGTCTAACTAAATGGTGCCAAGCTGAATATCCACATTTGTTATTTGGGGACAGCAAGCTTTTGAAATGTTGTTGCTGACATGGAAAGACAGCAACCCTGCTTTAGCTATGAGCTTGTTGTCAGACTTTCACAGAGCATCGTGGTGAGCAGCATGGCTTTGGAGTTAGCTCTCTCTGGATTGAACTGATTATAATCTATAAAATGAACCAGATAAGAACCAGCCCTGTAGTTTTTTGGGTGAGAGGATCATGAAGTAATAAAAACCAACAAGAATAGTGTGGAACTTCCCTTCAAGCACCGTGAGCAGAACGTTGTAAGTCAATGCATTACCCTCAGAGTTACATGGGAGGGACAGTGGGGGGGGGGGTGCTCACTGATAAGATGAGAGGGCCATCTTATCAATGAGGAAGCTGGGGTACAAGTCAGACTTCACGTACCTTGTATGTGAGATTTGGGCAGTGAGACCAGTCAGCCCAACTAGATCTCACAGGCAGAAAGGCTGTTATCCAGGAGGTGATCCACAAGACAGAGCTGTTAAGAGGTACCCCACCTAACTGTGGCCCACTTTGTAGTGCTAAGTTCACATACCATGCTTTGGCTCAGGCTACCAGGAAGCAGGAACCTGCAGCTTCTTTGGAGCTCATGGCAATCTCTTGGCAGCCCAGAGCTAAGCCTCTCCCTGAGGCCAACAAACTTGAGTTCAGGTTGGCTCCAACTTCATTATGTGATTTGGTAATGAAGCTTCACATTTGCTGTTCCCTCTACCTGGAATTCTCCTCTCTGACCTTATAAATATCAATCAACACTTCATTCAAATGTCACCTCCTCAGGGAAGTCTCCCCTGCCTATCCCAGACCCCTCTATAAGACAGAGCCTAGCAAACAATTCCAATAAGTGATATGTAGTGAATATTTTCAGGGAAGAACACTACCTCCATCTTAACTACACACATCCACTAGAGTACCAGGGAAGCCATAGAGAATACGTCAGCAAGCAGGCAGAACCACGCTCCTACGGAACTTCATAAAAACAGAAAATGGCTGCCTCTGGCTGAAGACCCCTACTGTGCCGGGCTAGTTCCCGGGGTACCCAACTTCATGACATTTATCACTGCTTGAAATGACCTTCATTACCCACTTGTTTCTTTCCTTGCTATTGTCAACCTTTCTCCACTCTGAACCTGCTGTGTGTGGATGTCGCTGCAGCCCCGCCTCTCTGTGACCAGAGTCTTGTCACTGCATTTAGCATATCTGTGTCCAAGAAGTGAATCACTGAGCGTCTTTCAGACCACAGAGGTTCAGCACAGAGTAGATGCTGAGAAACGAAGCGTTGAGGGACTTGGGGGGTAGCTGGGTCTGTGACACATTCGCCATCAAACCTGGGGACCTGGGTTTGCATCCACAGCACCCACATAAAAATCCAGGTGTGGAGGCATGCGCCTGTGAGCATGCAGATCCCCAGAGCTCACCACCAGACAGCCTAACTGGAGAGATGCGATGCGGATTCAGTAAGAGACTTGCCTCAAAAATCACAGTAAGGTATAGGGCCATTAAGACAGTGGGTAAAGGCACTTGCCCTAGGACCCATGTGGTGGAAGGAGACTCTCATAGACACATGTGTACGCGCACACACACACTACACATAAGTAAAAATAAACCTTCAAAGGATGTATTGTTGAATCGGTAAATGCCTGGACCACTGAAGATGGGCCATAAGCATGTGCCAGTAAGTCAGTGTACCGTGCGCTGCACACGTGACAGTGAGTTCAGCGAGCTGATACCCAGCATGCCTTGCTGCTCTGGTTCACAGTAAGTAGACACCTGGTTGATGATGATTCTTCTAAGCACACCATTGTTCCCTTTGGCTTTCAGAGGAGGCATTGAAGCTGCACAACGGGCCACCTCGCAGTGCCTACATGGAGCAGAGTTTCCAGAGCCTAAACCCGGTCCTCAGCCTGCCCATCGATCCTTCCCAAGTGGAGCAGGCCCGGAAGAATGCAGCCTTTGTTGGCACAGCACTAGAAAACTGGCTGGACTCGCTGGTAGGTGGGACCTGGACTGCCGTGGACATCTGTGCCACAGGTCCCACCGCCTGCCCAGTCATGCAGGCGTGCAGCCAGACAGCTTGGAGCTCCTTCAGCCCCGATCCCAAGTCAGAGCTGGGTGCAGTCAAGCCTGATGGCCGGCTCAGGTAGCAGTGGCCACGTGGGACCGATGGAGCTCAAACCCCAGTCTCTGACCTTGTAGAGAGGGCATGCCTTTTGTACAAGGACCTCTGCTGACTGCAGGATGATGGAGAGAGGGTTTGGAGGCCAGAGAAGAGTCAGCCTGTATTTGTCAAGCTGGCAAATACAGCTTGAGGGAGGTGACTCAGTCCTAGGGCCACAGTGGTCTCCCCTCTTCTGGTTGCTTCTCAGTTCTCCAGGGTCCTGTTCTCTCCCTCCGATGGCCTGCACTTGTCCCCCCACAAGTGAGTTTTCAACTTTTATTTTGAGCAGCAGAACTTTGTTTACTCAGCACAGTCGGAGGTGAAAGGGCAAGACCTGGATGAAATCCAGGCTGCTCTCTGGTTGATGCTGAGGTGTGTGAGGTTCCTTCTTGAAACTCAGCCCACCAGGTGGTCCTCTGCCAAGGGCATCTCTAAGGTACCTCTTCTGAACCCAAGGGCTCTGTTTAAGCCAGTTTGACAAGCACTGCCCTGAGCAAGGGTGGGATCTCCATCCCTTCCCTTCCATTAAGCTCTTCGTTTCTGTGGCTGGGAAACCTTGTACTCATGCTAACTTAGCAAGCTGCTGGAGGCCATACTCCAGGCCTTCTTAGGGAGGTCGAGATGGGGGAGAATCTGAGGGTTCCTGTTGCCACTCAGTGAGCTGAAAGCCAGAGGTTCAGGAAATCCTTCTGATGTGAAACGGCCAAGGTCCCCCAGACATGTGACTGCCAACTTTCCATCTGTCCAGGTCAGCCTCTTCCAAGGCTGTCACAAATGGTAACAAGAACAAGAAAAAGCATTTAGAGCCTGAGCTTCAATTCTCCTACCTTGTCCCTGGGAGACAGCTCCTGTGGCCTCTTTGGTACTTGAAAGTGGGAGTAATGCAGAACCTGGGCTCTGGATCTCAAAGGGGATTATCTGGACCTGAGATTCTGAGCTGGATGGCTGCATAGTCACACCCCTTATGTTCTGAGGTCAGGCACCCCAAACCTTTGTGAACTGTGCACTTGGTGCTGTTGGCTGTAACCAAACTGCATGGATCAGACTCCTCCCACGCAGGAACAAACATTTCAGAAAGGGTCTGTAATTTCATATCCTTCCTTGCCTAGGGTGCCAACAGGCTCAGTCTGGCCATATCACATAAAAGGAAGGTTGAGTTTCAAAAGTGGGAAGGTAGTTCAAAAAAATAGTGTTATTCATGTTGCCTGAGTTGCCAGAAACCCAAGGGTTTTCTTGCCATGTGTATTCGGTGGGGATTGAGGAAGTCGCCTTCCTCCTTGAGTCCTCCAAAAGAAAATTATCTGGGAAAAGTTTCACCCATCCTTGTATCTCTCCCAGAATGGATAAGGTACTTAAGTCCCCCTTGATGACGCATCTAGGGCACAGCCCCTCTCCATTCTAACATGGCGGGCATAGAGAAGGGACCCTTGATATTTATTATTTATATGTTTTAGTCAATGACTAATTAGTAGGTGCTGTTTTTTGCAGCTTGTCGATTATGTTATCTTACTAACTGAAACTGCCTTTATTCACAAAAGGCTCCCCTCCCCCTCCCTTCCCTGGTTTGCCTACCTTCCTCTCTCAGTCTCGCCCTTTTTGTCTCTCGGTGTCCATCCTACATCCTTCTGGTTCTGAAAACAAAGCAGGAGTGTTATAAACCATGGCACAGTTTCAACCAGCACCCGCACTGTCAGCAAGCAGACCAGCTTGGATGGCTGGAACCTCCCTTTTGCTTACCCGGGTGTTGATCTCATCTGTCTCTCTAAATTCAAAAGCGTTGGAATGCCTGAGTCGTCCCCCCCCCCCCCGCCCATTACCCTGGCCCCAGGCTTGTGAACAAGGATGTGAGGGAGAGGGGTGCCGAGTATAGAACTCTAGGTCCACCCAATTGCCCCACCTCAGGCTTCTCCTGACCAGTTTAACCATGAGGATGAGCTATGAGTAGCAGACCAATCCAAGAGTGATTGGTCTTAGGAGGGAGGGTGGGGTCAGACCCGGCCAGGGGAGCTTAGCAGATGACTACTGTCTATGCTGGTTCTGGAGCCATCAGGTGGCTTCCTCTAAAAACCCATTGGATCTGCATTGGTTTTATAAACCTGTGAGAACCGTGAGCCTGGTCACCCAGCTTTTGCCTTGGTCAAAGTTTCCCTGGGACTGTGGGACCTCTGGGAGTTCCCCCTTTACTTCTCTTGTTCTAGAGATTTGTGTATTCTGTCCTGAAAGGTCCCTATACACTCTAGGAACTACAGACTCTGAGACAAGGTCTGTCCTGACCAAGTGACACTCAGTGACATTTTTCACCTTGTAACTATTTGGAAATGCCAAGCCGATGTATTCTGGGGCCACTTTGCACCCCTTGAGCTCCTTCTTCACTCACCACAACTAACTTGGGGGTAATTTGTTTACTGTGTTTTTGGACCCAGAGAATAATTTTGCTTTTAGTGAGAGAGAGAATTTAAAACAAGTTCAGTGTACTTTAAGAATATTTTCCAATGGAAATGGCATAAGTCCTTATTTCTTGGTGTCTTCCTGCCTGAAAACAATGTCTTTGGAGACCATTGGTGAAACAACAACCTTGGTAGATGGCTTCCTGAGGGTTTTAAAAGCACAGAAGTGTCATCTCTGGGAACCTTAAAGTCTGCAGAAACAAGAAGCATGGGCTTAACTGCTGACCAAGTCCCAGAGTGTCTGGAAGGCTGAGAGGGAAGCTGGGTATCCCTTATGGGGAGAACTATTTTAGATAGCACCTCTCCATGCCATTTGACAACTACCCCTCCCAAAGCCTATTTCCTAGGCTGTTCAGAAAGCTGCAAGTCTCCAAGAAGGAAGGGAGCAACTCCCAATGCCTCCTTGCTTTAACAATGCAGTCCTTTTTCCCTTCCACAAGGATCTTCCTGGTTTCGTTTATCATTGTCGGTTTAACTTTTTAATTTAAATTAAGTTAGAGGGTATAAACAGGGCCACACAAATCCGGGGGAGGGGAGAGAGAGAGATGCATGTTCATATTCATGCACACACATGTACGTACACACACGCCAACGGAGTTTGGATGTGTGCCTGGGTATTCACAAAACATACCTCCTTCATGCTGTCTGGTTTTCAGATAGATAATAGAGGATGCTGACTGAAACTATGGCCTCTCTCCCAAGACATTCCATAGCAGAAAAGAGTAATCAGTGCCTATGAAGAAGAAAAAAACATTTTCAACCAGGTTCATGAGGGTTCAGATCAGCAGTTCCTGAGAGCTTTAATGATAGACTGGAAACTAATGTCATCCCCATCAGCTTGAGCATGCAGAGAAGGCTTGCCAGGCCAGAGAAACTCTACTGCAGGGGTCATCGAAGCATAATGAGGTCCAAGACACAAGCATAGATGGGTAAAACCACGGGTGAAAGAAAAAAAAATGGAGTGGTGGGGAATGTGTTCTTACTGACTTCCACGTGACCCCTCCAGTAAAAAGAGCAGCTGTGGCTCAGCTCTCAGCCTATCAAAGCAAGTAAGCAAGTGAAACTCATTGCAGTGAAGTCTTCTATCTGCTAAGGGAAACCAGACATCCAGTTCCTGTTTGTTCGATTTTTTGTTTAATAGGAAATCTAGTTTTTCATTATTGGCTACCTATTCTTTCATATTTTTTTTGAATATGTGGGCAAAGTAAAACTCCACAGTTGTGCACGTCTTCTTGGGCAAAGTCTTCTTTCTGGGAAGGTAGTGGTTTAAATGAAGGAAAGAGCCAAGGGTAAGAGTGCAAAAGGAACAGCTCATACTAAACTGTGGAGGACTCAAGGTTTCTGCTTGGTCGTTCCTTTCTCAGACAGCCTGTCTTAGGCAGGAGGGCTGGCTCATGGGCTGCTCTGGTTTGTGCTGAAGAAGAAAAACTGCAACCTGGGGTCTGAGGTGGCGCCTCAGACACAAAGAGTCTGCCCAGGTCCCCACCTTCCGGTATCCCATCAAACTGAGCAGAGATGACAATGGTGCCCTCCAGGAGATGAGGCTGGGGAGCCCTAGGACCCACTCCAGAGTCCACATCTGAGTTGCCATGCTGCCACCATGCTGGAAGGTTCTTCAGAAACCACAGGGGGGCCTGTGCTGGCTCACAAGTAGTCTTCTTTGCTTCTGCCTCAGTTACCTTATTTTGCCCAAGGGTCAACCCCAGGCGCTACCTCAATGTCTGCTGAGAAGTTTACCTGGGGATGGGGTGGAATGAAGGTGGCTAACCATGCTGGAGCTGAATGTACAATCTATGCAAATTCATTCATTTTTCTCTCTGTGTGTGTGTCTTTCTCTCTGTCTCTGTCTCTCCCTTCTCCTTCCTCCTCTTCCCTCTCTCTTTCTCCTCCTTTATCTTACAAGTGTGCACATTTTTTTAAGTTTATGAACAAAATACTCTACAGGACCCTCTTAAGACTGAGGAGGGCTGTCATCCTACCACCTGTGTCTATCCCTCCTGTTGTCTTTGGTTCTGTTCTTGCCAAGCCCCACAGAGGGAGAAAGTAGCCTCTCTTCTCCCCTCACTTGGCTGGGAATATTCTCACAGCCTCAGCATGCGAACATCACCAGGAAGCAGGCACTGCATCCCCCCTCCACCCCACCCCAGCCCTGCTCCCAGCACCATCTTCTCCTTTCTGCATTTTCCTCCTACCTCCCACCTTCATCTCCACCCCTTTCAAAAAGCCTTAGGTTTCTCCTTTTTGAAATGTGGCCTTAAAATTATTTTTGGAAAGCTGACATCCTCCCCCTCTAATTTCCCCCACCACCACAGAAGAGAGAGCATCTTGAAGCCTGCATGTGTGGCGGCCTCCTGAGCAAAGGGACTGCCAATCTGTAGCCTGCAGATGCACTAGGAATGGCTTAAATGTCGTCTTTAAGAAAAAAATGTTCTCGTATTTTTCTCCTATGGGCAAAATGAAGTCTCGGGTGCTTGTGCAGTTCTGAGGCACTCTCCTAAACGTGCTGCCTCGCTGGCATCACCAGCAGGATGCGCCCCACAGCTTTCCAGTCCCCCATCCCCCCAAGACCCAGTGACTTTAGGTACTCCATTCAAAGGTAAATCAGGAGTATTCCTCAGTTTATTTCTTCATCTTTCTTGCCTGGAAAGTAACAGCATTAAATATTCCCAGGAGATGGGCCATGTTCTTGAAGGCATGGCCCACTCCCTCCTTCAGACTCAACCTTGAACCCTTCCATCACTCCAGTGCTGATGGAGGCCAAAGACAACCCCAGGGTTTTCATAGGAAACTCGCTGGTATTGAGCGCAATTGTCTTTATCCATTTTTTCTTTTTAAAGGAAAAAAAGAGACTCTTATGTTGTCGGTAGCATTTGTCCAGATGTTTGTTTTAGAGGCCTCAAGATAAGTTATTACTGCCTCCTTCTTTGTTTTCAAAGACACGTGGCGATATAGTTTTTAAAAATAACTATTTTGTTATAGATCATAATACGCATAAAACTGTACAGAAATATTTTGTAATGTATTGATTTTAAAAAAAGAGAATCTGTAAATAAAAGTTTAAAAAATAAGAAAGAATTCACATGGCACATGTTGAAAGATGTAGATATTTTGCTATTTATTTAAAGGAGTATTTTAAGAAATATTAAACTATCTGAATTTGACCAATAATCAAAGTTCCAATCATCTGAATACTTTTCATCAAGGTAGAGTCCAGTTCTCGCAATTGTGTTATCCACCCATATTTGCCTCTTTCTTGTCTTTTCATTTAGCAGAAAACAACAACAAAATTGTGCCTTAGCTGTATTTCTGTCTAGGGGAATTTCTTTCTGTCCAACAAAGCAACATTTTTTTTTTTTTTGCAGAAAACAATGGATTATTAAATACTGTATTATACCAAAAACACCACAGGTGTACATAGACGCTTTCTGCCATACTGTGTTTTCAGATGCAGAATTTTAAAATAAAAAAAAAAGTCTCTATGAAATTTCCTCTTATGGTTACTTTTCAGCAGTTTCGGCACCCTCACACAACCTTGCATTCTCTTCCATGCCCTGTGCCATGATAGCTATATAATTTGCTGTCTCAGCTGCGGTACTCTCAAAAGTTGACACCAACTAAAAGGATGCTGAGTCATAGACATGAGTTCGGACACGAGGACACACTTCCACCTCAAGACTGCTGTCCTCTCTCCAAAGGAGAATTATACCTCCTGGAGTGTTTCCTCTAGCTAGGGTAAAAGAATATAATTTTAAACAGTTATTTGCAAAGAATAGGGATGAAAGGCTGTCCTACAAAATAGCTGGGATTTTTTTTTTTTTTTTGATTTGGTTTTGGTTTGTTTGGTTGGTTTTGGTTTTTCAAGACAGGCTTTCTCTGTGTAGTCTTTGCTGTCCTAGACTCACTTTTGTAGACCAGGCTGGCCTCAAACTCACAGCGATCTGCCTGCCTCGGCCTCCCTGAGGGCTGGGATTGCCAAGAGTGCACCACTGCACCTGGCTACTACAAAACAGCAGTTTTAATACCCACCTAGAATCTAGGTCCTAGATGGACATGTAGAAAGCCTGATGTCTCATCCTTTTCAGCACACAGCTGGCCTACATGCCTCAGACTGCCTCCCTCTTCCTTGTGACCACATGGCCAAATTTCAGTCAATGGGATGCTGGTGAAATGGGTCTAGTCCTGTCCCATCCGACCTCCCACACCAGCCTCTTCTCTTCATCGTTCCCTACTCAGATACTTAGAATTATCTTGATGTGGTGCTGTCACCAGCTTGTCCTAGTCCAGTGCTCTTTGGGAGACATCACAGCAACATTTGGGAGGACAGAACCACAACACAGGAGGAGCCTGAGTACTGGATAGACATGAAATTTCACCTAGCTTAAGTCACCCCTTGTCTTAGTTAGGGTTTCTGTCGCTTCAATGAAAACACCATGATGAAAAAGCAAGTTGGGGAGGAAAGGGTTTATTTGGCTTACACTTGCAGATCAGAGTCCATTACTGGAGGAAATCAGGACAGAAACTCAAGCAGGGACGGAACCTTGAAGCAGGAGTTAATGCAGAGGCGATGGGCATTACTGGCTTGCTCCCCATGCTTGCTCAGCCTGCTTTCTTACAGAGCTCGGGTACCCAAGGATGGCACCACCCACCATGAGCTGGGCCCTCCCTCACTGATCACTCACTAATTGGAAAATGCCTTACCGCTGGATCTCATGGAGCATTTTCTCAACTGAAGCACCTTTGTCTCTGATGATTCTAACTTGTGCCAAGTTGACACACACACAAACATCCAGTACTGACGCCACTTCCAAGACACCCATTCGTTATGCTCAGTATGTGTGAAAAGAAGTCTGTGAGGATGGGGGCAGGAGCGTGTGTACATGTTCATGCGTGTATGTGTGCAGGTATACACAGACCAGAGATTGACATTTGGGAGTCTTCCTCGATTGCTTTCCAAATTACTTAAGACAGGACCTCTCATTAAACCCATAGTTTGTTTATTCAGCTAGGACCTTTAGCCAGCGAATTCCACAGATCAATCTGTCTTGGTTTCCATCTGCCCCTGAAACATTTTAATGCTACTGAGGATGCATTTGCTGTGGCAACTGACCTTACCTGAAATCCATGGAGCGCTAGAAATCATGCTATTCCCTAGAAAACCACGTCATAGCGTCTTCATCCCATAGGCAAAGCTATAGAGAGCAAGGTGGCTGAAGCCACTCATAATCATGTCCACAATCAAGAGCAAGTCACAGGGACCCATCCATTCTTAGGATTCTCATATGAAATTTCTGAAAACCATAGCCAAGGGCTGGGAATGCCTAGCTGGATTTGTACTGAAGATCACTCTGACTCAGCCTTCAGAGTCTTTATAGGGAGAGAATAGCATGAGATCCAAGTATTAGCGGCAGGAACAAGATAAGCTGGCAACTTTCTCATTAGACAAGCAGGGAGTGAGTAAACACAGAGAGAGCTGCACCAGCATCAGCATCCCTGAGCTGGGCTTGGGAAAGAGGGTGGGCAGCTCCACACTGGGGAAGGTGAGTGGACCCAGGATGCATTTGCCAAGCATTTTCCATCTGCCCTTGTTGCCAACTTCTTCCTCCATCCAGAGGAAACTTCTCAAGAATAGGCAAAGAAAACATAGTTCCAACATATCTGTAAGAGCAGGGGTCACGGGAGCCTTGGTTGCTTTATTTGCCTGCTTCTGGTATCAACCACAAGGGGGTCCAGAAAATGGATACTTTGTGACAATTTCATGAATGAACAAGCAAGCCAACCCATTTTTCTTAATTAATACTACAGACATGAGGTCATTTGTCCAAAATACTATGTTGACATTCATCATTTGATTGATGATACATGTCAAAACATGGGTTAATAGAAAGTAAACCTTCATTTTCACCTCTAATAATGAGGTTTCTTGGTACATGGCATTGAAAGGCTGCTCAGAATTTCTTTTCTACCTCATTTATTTGAGCAGAGGTTCCTTCACAGTAAATAACCCAGTTCCTTCCGGTAGTGAGGGAACAGTGGGGCTTTGTTTAAGACTGTCACACTATTAGTTACAAAAGCCTCTTTTTCTTTAATTTTTTTTTTATTCTATGACAGTGTTTCATTTGTACATGTATGTAGTCAGTCTTGGTTCTTTCCACCATCCCCATTGTCCTCTGTGTCCTCTTTCCTTTCCCAACTAGTTAGTCCTCACATATTGATGCCTATTCTCAGTGACCTGCTGAGTTCAACTGTGGTTGTTTGCATGAGCCTAAGAGGATGGTTATTTACTGGAACCGTTTCTTAAGCAAATGTGCATGTATGTTAAAGTCCCGACATAGAGGAAAGACTTAAATATCAGAGATATTTGGAGGGACGTCCCAAGTGGAATTGAAGCAGACAGTTCTGTCTTAGCAGTGACCTCCCCAAACTACCAACCAACCCATTTGGCATTCCCAGGTATTGAACAGATAAGCATTCCTGGTGAACTCCTTGCTTAACCAAATCCATACTTTGAAACCCACACTTCTAGTGGAAGGAGCTATGCTTCCTGTAGAGCTCTGTGACTTTTTCTGGGGATTCTATATCTCTTATATTTGCATCTGTGTGTCTAGATGTATGTCTGTGTGTGTGTGTGTGTGTGTGTGTGTGTGTGTGTGTGTCTGTGTGTGTGTGTGTCTGTGTGTCTGTGTGTGGCATATCTCTCTGTGTGTGGTATGTGTGTGTCTGTGCTGATGTGTCTGCATATGTCTATCTGTGTATATCTATGTCTGCGTATGTCTGTGTGTATCAGTGTCTATGTGTATCTGTGTGGCTGGCTGTCTGTCTCTGTGTCTCTGTGTCTGTGTCACCTCAGATAGAGAAGGGACCGAAGAAGTGATTCCACCCAAGTTCAGTTTGGTAAAGCAGTGAGTTTGCTAGGGATGCTTTTAGAATCATGAGTGTGGATCTCTTTAGAGAAGCATGGATGAGAGGGATCACTCAGAGTAAGGATGAGGGGTTACTCACAGGAATGTGGACGTGTCTGGCTCTTTTTTTACATTGGATCCAGGACCAGACTCAGCAGTCAGGCTTTCATAGTGTCATCAGTTTTCAGCTTGACACACCTGAGAAGACTGTACCTCAATTAAGGTATTGCCGCCACCAAACTGGCCTGTGGGCACATGGTGAGGGCATCTTATTAATTTTTTAATTGATGCTGGTGTGCCCAGCCCACTGCGGGCAGTACCGTCCAGACACGTGGGCCTGAGTTGTGTTAGAAACCAGCTATGCAAGCCAGAGGGAGCAAGCCAGTAAGCAGCATTCCTCTGTGGTCTCTGCTTCAGCACCTGTACTGACTTCCTTCCATGATGGGCTGTGGTCTGTTAGCCAAAATAAATCCTTTTCTTCCAAGCTGCTTTGGGTCATGATGCTCATCACCGCGACAGAAAACAAACTAGGATACATGGCTGTCATCACTGGACACACACCGAAGTTTAATCAACAAATGATTTCTGCAATCTTGAGCCAGCCTGTGGGGGACTGCAGAATTAAGCTCTGAAGTTCACGACCAAGGCAGCCACAGGAGGACTCGAGAAGGGTGACTGGGGTTCAGCCCTCAGAGACCCTCTTCCATGTGACTGCTGACTCCAGCTTGTGTCTCATTTCAGACAGACTGCTGACTGTACGGGGTAGAAAAAGAAGATCTCAGAAGTTACTGCTTCCTGCCCTTCAAACTAATTCATAAAAGACATCAGCACCCCTCGTCCTTGTTGCCAAAAGAGATGAGTTTGACTCAGGAGCTTGCGTTGAGGTCAGGCAAACAAAAACTATGATTGGCTAAATATGGTTCATATGCCCACCTTAGTGGCCTGAGGATTGGAGAACTCATGATTGACAGGTCCATTCCCACAGCAGGGTTGGAACAGAAGAGAGGCAGATCCCATACAGGGAAAAATGGCATTGAATGACAAAAACAACAGATGTCCATCCACTGCCACTGCCAACTCCAGGCCCCATGGCTCTCGGCTTGCCAGTCTGATTCGTTTCTGCACCTCAAGGGCCCCAGTTGGTCTTGCCCAGTTCTCCACATGTCCCTGAGGAGAAGGGTCTGGGCTGTCTGAGGCAAATCATTTTCAATAAATATCACGTGGAGAGTGCTGATGATTCCCCGACTCCCCACTTAATTAGGTGTAGAGTATTCATGCTTGGGGGATAATATGATGAATTTATCCTTTTATCCTTGTAGCCTAGACCTGGGGCTCCATTTAAAAGCCCATGGAACTTCCTTTGGTAATTACAGAGGTCAATTGGAACTTGCAGCAGAAAGTAGGATTTGCACCTGCCCTAAGAAACAATACCTCCCAGGGTGTCATGCTCCCATGGGCCATTCATTTCCTGGTCCCCTCACTAGGCATCCATGGTCTGCTGACTGGACAGCTACACTTCCAACCCTGGATCTAAGGAGAGATGATGTCTATGTTTTCAGCGTGATATGTGAGATTTGTGTTCCTG